AAAAAAAAGAAATACAGTCTTTTCTTTCCTGGTTAGTACTTTTTGCATCCTAGTTTAAAAAGACTGCCTCCAACAGGGTCATGCAGATATTTTTCTATGTTTTGTTCTAGAAATTTTCACATTAAATCTATGTTCCTTCAAGGAGCAAAGAATCCCTATGTTACAGAACTATTTCTGATAATAGGGGGAAAAGAAAGTTTCACAACTTATTTCGTGAAGTCAGAGTAACTTTGAATTCAAAATACACCCATACAAATCTCACTGATAAATGTAGATCTTAAAGAATTCTAAGACACTGGCAAGTCGAATTCAGCAGCGTAGGGAGAAAAATACACCACTGCCAAACAGGGTTTAACTCAGGAATGCAAAGATGGTTCAACAGGAGATAATCTATTAATGTAACACAACCTATTAACAGATTAATGGAAAAGATGATCATCTCTACCTTCAAAGAAAAAGCATTTGATGAATCCAACACTTGATTTTTTTTAAATAAAAATCTCTTAGAAAACCAATATGAGAAAGTATTTAATCATATCTTCCAAAAGTATTAGGTTATTTATCAAAACCAACAGTAAGGTATTATAATTAATGATGATATGTTAAAGCTACTCCTATTAAAATCAGGAACATGAAATTCAGAATTATGTATCTCAAGTGAGCCCTTACTGCTGCCTGACAATCATACACTATTTCCCTCTTCTTTTCACTTTTTTACTCTCTGACAGATGACTACATCATGGATTATTCCTTCTCAAACCTCTAATACATATTCCCATTCTTCCTTATTCTCAGATGATGAGCTTGGCTTCTATATACAAAGATAAATTGAAACAGTCAGATGAGAACGCTCTCAATCTACTACCATCATGTGCCCGTCCATATATTTTGTCTTCTCTCCTATTTCTATAGTAACTCTCCCTACTCCTGGTAAAGCAAAGGCTAATCCTTCTGCCTGTATAAGATCAGGTGTCAGCAAACCACAGTCCACATTGCTTATGCCTACTTTCATTTGACAACAGCAAAGCTGAGTAGCAGTAATGAATTGTATTGCCTAAAATGCCTAAACTACTACCTAACCTTCAAAGAAAAAGTCTGCTGACCTCTGAACTAGATCATCTCTCCTCTTCATGTAATCATGGACATTGCTGGTTGAAAGGGCCCACTAAGCTCAGTGCAGAAGATATAAAATATAAAGTAAAATCCATACAAGATATATAAAATATCAGGGAAATATCAGATATACTGATGACAAAGAAAAGATCTTAAGGCCAGGTCACATATGAAGGATAAAGATTTTGAATGGCATAAGACTTTTCAGCAACCACCTCAAACTAGAAAATCAGGCCAGGCGCGGTGGCTTACACCTGTAATCCCAGCACTCTGAGAGGCCGAGGTGGGCAGATCACTTGAGATCAGGGGTCTGAGACTAGCGTGGTCAACATGGTGAAACCAGTCTCTACTGAAAACACAAAAATTAGCCAGGTGTGGCAGCGTATGCTTGTGATCCCAGCTACTTGGGAGGCTGAGGCAGGAGGATCACTTTAACCCGGGAGGCAGAGGTTGCACTGAGCCAAGATAGCGCCACTGCACTCCAGCCTGGGTGACAGAGTGAGACACCACCTCAAAAAAACAAACAAAAAACTAGAAAACCATAATAATCTGTTAAATTTGGAGAAAAAATGATTTTCACCTTGGAATTCTATAACTATCCCTGCCAAATTATCAACCAGGTGTCAAGATAGAAGGAAAATATTTTCAGCAATACAAACATCTCAAAAATTTTACCTCTTCATATAGTCTTTCTTGAAAGTTACCAAAAGGAAATTAAACTAAAGAAAATCTGTTCTGAAAAAAGGGTGAATGTAAGCGAAATAACAGAAAAGTATCAATTAAATTCAAGATGAGAGATTCAAGTCTCTCGAATTCAAAAGCAATGTATTATTCAAAAGCCAGTACCAAACGTTTCTCTGTAATGAAATAAATTGCCAAGCCTCCTCAAGCTAAGTCATGTGAACACTGCTATATCCCTATACCTGTGTGTATATACAGATCCTTCCCATATCCCTAACTAGCTACTTAGTAAAGTGACTATGTAAATTTATATTCAAACTTTTCCTTTCCATAGAATAGTTAAATGTAACACATTTTAAATTCCAGTGTTTCTTTACATAGTTAAAAAGTTTCCTAAATCAAAAGCTCAAGACATTAAATAAAAAAAATTCCAGATTAATTCCACATTAGTAAAATGTATCATACCCAATTTTTATTCTCTCACTAAAGAGGGATCAACAGGAAATTTAAGACACATTTAAAGAAATAATTTATAGGATAATGCAATACATTCATTTTTCTTCTCCAAGGAACCTCACTCAGGCTGAGGTAGTTTCAAGCTATTTGAATTATCTTTCATTGAAAATTAACTTAGAAAAAGCATTAAGATTAGAATGACAATTTTATCCAAATGCAGTCGGTATACAATAAACATCTCATATTCAAAAAATAGGATACATTTTAAGATATCTTATTCTCAAAATATCGTGTATCATTAAAATTAAAAGTAAGTCAAACTATGTGTCTATTTTATATAGCCAAAAAAAAAAAAAAAGCAGTACTTTTACAATTAATAGTTTAAGGTTTAAAAGCTATTTAAAATTTTCTGAAAAACCAGATTGTCAAGGAATTGGTTCACTCACAGTCGGCCAGAAGAAAAAAAAAAAGGTGGTATTTCAAAATTTTAGACCAAAAAAGAAATTTAGATTCCCTTATAAATAAGTGCGAAGAGAGAATATTTTCAGCAAACATTTCATTTAACTACATAAACCAAAGGAATAAGGCTGTCTAACCACATGTAAACTATGCATCATCTGACTTCAGGTAGAATATTTACCTTTGGTATACTTGGGAACCAGACACCCAAAGTATATAAACACAGGCATATTTTAAAAACAACTGTCTTAATGTTTTTGTTTGCTAGGCAATAATTCCCATTATTTTCAGAAAGAAAAAAATATCCTTAATCAAAAAGTTATCAGAGGAGTTTCTACTTCTTAAACTTTCAAACTAACATATTTAATATAAACCACTTATCATTTAAGCTCCATCAGGGCACAGGCTTGTCTCTTTCCCTGTTGTGTCCCCAACCTTTAGGGGACTAGCTGGCACTACAATAAATATGTGTAGAATGAATGAACTGAGCCTCTGGAAAAAGCTTAAGTGTTTTACATTGCAACAGGGCAATTTGACCTGTTTATCTAACATTCACTACACTCAACTCTAATGACATAAGATTCATACCAGGTATTTAAACACGCACACACACACACACAAATGCATTACTCACATATGTATCTCACTCACAAAGCCAATTTTTTTAGTTATATTTTCTCTCAGGAAAATTTGTTGTATTCTTTCTAGTATTACAAATAAATATTAGAAAAGCATGTTGTGTCTTGACAATGCAAGTGCTATCTTCAAATTTATGTTGCAATCTGGAAAAATTTAGGCAAACTAAATAGTACTTCCAGAGTTGTGCCCCAAAGCATTTCTTAAAGTCAAATTCCTTAATTCAATGAAAAGTGGAACAAGGCACAGTGGCGCCTGTCTGTAGTCCCAGCTACTTGGGAACCTGAGGCGGGAGGATTGCTTGAGCTCAGGAGTTTGAGACCAGCCTGAGCCAAATAAAGAGAACCCATCTTGAAAGAAAGAAAAGAAAGGAAAGAAAGGAAAGAAAGGAAAGAAGAAAGAAAGAAAGAAAGAAAGAAAGAAAGAAAGAAAGAAAGAAAGAAAGAAAGAAAGAAAGAAAGAAAGAAAAAGTGGGATATAATAGGGAAAAATGCACACCTTACCGTTTAAAAATTATGCTAAATTTTAAAAAGAAAAAATGAACTGGGGTCAAAATAAATACATCGAAATTACTGATCCCAAATGGCATTAATGCCCTTACATTTTGATATTTAGATTTGCCTTTGAAGCTACATAATAAACTTTATGTCTACAAAGCTTGAGTTAGAGCTTTGGATGTTAACACTGTTTGGATGTTCAGTATCGGAAGTTTCTTCATAATTCTAAAGTTAGACATTTAGCAGTAACAGTAATACACTTACATGTAAGATTCTATAGCACTTGTACAAGCATAATTATCTCGAGTGGGACAGGCTTCATAGTGAGCAAGCTATGATCTGTACAATTGCAATACTCTGCAGACACGGACTGAAAAGTTTCCGAAAATTCTGATGTTTATCTTCAAAGAAACTTGAACAGAGTCGATCTGATGATGGTCAAGATAGATGGTTTGTATTGCTGATGATGGTGGTTACAGAAGAATACCCAAGTCAACTCAGAAACACTGGTAAGGAAATAAGGCTCTCGATAGCAACTAAAGCGTTGGGGAAAAAAAATCCAGGGAGCATAAACAATAAAGCTCAATTAACTGCTGCCTGTGTGTTTCCAATTTATAGGCTTAAATACACATTGGGCATTAGATATTTCTTTTAGGTTTTTTTCTTTTTTTAAAAAAAACCAGAAATTTAGTATTTTAATTGCCCCTCCCCCACAGCTAACATCAGTGCCCTTTCTTCCTCCTCCCTTACCCCTCCCAGCTTAAACAAATTAACATTTGTACTAGGTACCTCCTATCAGCTCGCAGCTTCTTCCCAAACACGCCCACGTACACTGAAACTGGCCTGCGTCTACACAACACACAGCTACAGGAAAAGAGCTTCGAGGGGGGACCTGGGGGAGGGTGGATAATTCGCTCCGCACAGGTTTTACGGCTATTTTCCAGAAATTAGCTCCTCGCTCGTGGCTCGCGTTTCTTCCAAATCACCTCCAAAGCACAGTGTTTATGAGCCTACCTAATCCGATACTGCAATGGAATTCCGGATATTTGCAGACAGATTTTCCGGCTTTGCAAGTGTCTGATGAGATACGTTCGGAATCTCCTTTTTTCTACGGCCCGGTTCTTGGCTGTACAGCAAGCCGACCTAGGGCTGCAGCCCCTGTCCCGCACCCGGGCCGCGCGCCCGGCCCAAGGCCAGCGCAGGACGCAGCCCCTCCGGGGCCGGAGCTGGCGGAGCCGCTCGGGCTGCGGGCCGGTCTGCAACAGGTCACCCTGACCGCGAGTCCGCGGGTTCGCGGGCGGCCAACTCTGCGGCCAGGCTTCTGGGCGCAGCCGCCGGGGGCAGGGGAGGGGGTGTGGCCCGGCTTCGGCTGGTCCTGGCTCCGAGGTCCAGGCTTGGGCTCACCTGAAGGGAGGCTGAGGCGACGCTGGGCGCCAGAACACCGCGGGCGGAGGCTGGGGGCTTCCGCCACCCAGGAGGGAGAGGGAGGCGGGTTCGGGGGGTCGCCGCGACACGGGCTTCAGGACGGCGCCCCCAAGCGGGGGACTCCACGGCCGCTCCGACGCTGGGAACCCGCGGCCGAGGGAGGCGCGCCCCCCAGCGCCCTTCTCCTTCAGCCCGAGCTCCGCAGCCCCATCCCTGCGCGCAGGGCGAGCAGCCCCGGGGCCCGCGGCAGGAAGAACCACACTCCGCAGCGCCGGAGCCGCCGCCATTCCCCGCGTCGCCCGGGGGGCGCTGCGCACCCACCCTTAGTCCCCCGCAGCGCTCCGCGGCCTGAGCCCACCGACCTGTGCAGCTGCGGCCGTCTCCTCAGAGGATGGAAAGACAACGCCGGCCTCACGCTTCGCCGCCACGGCCACCGCCGCCGCCACCTAGGATAGCGCTCGCCGACCCGAACAGTCACCGTCTCTCATTCAGCGCCAGCCGCCGCGGCTGCCGCTCGGGGGAGGAGAGTGAGCTGGAACCACCCCGTCCGCGCCGGGGGTGGGGGAAGAGAGCGGACCTGGCGGCGGCGCGCTTCAAGCGGGCGGGGCGGAGCCGCGCGCAGGAGCGCGCGCACCAACTGGGCGCGCTCGCGGGGGCGCTGAGCGCTGCAGCCTGTAGGGTCTTCCCCGCGTGCTTCCCGCCCGCCGCTCTTCCGCCCCGCGGAGCCCAACGGCTGCCGGGGGTCGATGTGCGCCGCGCGCGTAGCAAGCCACAATCCCACCGCCCGGCGCCTTCTGAAAGGAGGGGCTCCCAACGGCCAAACAAGGGGGCGGGGAGGGGTGGGAGGGTGGACAGACAGGTGGGGCATCCGCCACCTCCCGGCCACCCGCTCCCGGCACTGGGCCCTGTGCGATGAAATCCGCCGTGGTGTCTGCGGCCTTCAGCCCGACTCTTCACCTTTAAGGCCAGAGAACAAAGTCTGGAAACACTTGGCCCCAAGATCAAACATCCAGCGCACGCCGGCGATGCTTTTAGAAAGTCACTGCAGACAGATGAGGGGGCTCCAAATGCGGAGAGTCACCCCACTGCCGTAGATAAGATCATAAATTGTAATGATCAATGTCCTCACACATTAAGATTCGGGAAGTGTTGGAAGTAGGCCTTTGTAGATGTTACGCAGGGTACTACCCTTGACTTAAGGAGCAAATGACAGAAATTGGGCGGAAAGGTGTTGTTTCAGAGGGTGCACTATATGGGTGGCCTACTTAAAACTAGCACCATGTGATGCAGTGTGACTGTTAACCGAAGGTTTTAAGTGAGCCGCCTTTGTATCTGCTGTCATTAGACTATTTGGAAATGGATAATTATTTTGATGATCTGCAGTTCTTTCTCTAGGCAACGTGCAGTAGAATGTGGAAAGAATACCGTGTACCAGCATTAAGTGTAAAACGTGAAAGGACCAAGAATTCACTATTCTCATTTGGTTTCTTTCTTCCCTTTAATAACCGCTAAATAGAACTGATTAATCTTGAACGTTGAAGAATGCTAATTGTTTCCTCCTTTAATTGCCTTGTGTCATAGTCCTTTATGTTGGGGAAGCTAGAATGCCCTTCAACCCATTTCTCGCAAATAGAGTTGTTTCTTTAAAGCACCTCGACCCAAAATTAAGTCAAAAAGAAAAACAGCAAGAATAGGCAACAAAGTTCATATTGTTTCATTTTCATTCTATTTTATTTTCAAAGAAAGTATTGAATCATGACGAAATCACTAGAAGTAGAGCAATCAAAGAAAAAAAACATTTCTCCCCTACAATATTTCAAATGGCAAGAGTCCAAAAAAAGAAAACAAAAAGGAAGATGATTGGTAAAAAGGAGAGAAATGCATTATGTATATACAGAAAGTTTTCCCATGGATATTAATTGCTTCAAGTCCCAAAGAAACAACAAACTGAATTAGCACTTGGAGGAAAAACCCCTTCCAGTTACTGAGTTGGGTAAATGTTTAGTCTTTTTTAAGTGTTACTAAGAGATTAAGGAAAATGTCTTTGGCTATATGCCAACAATAATACATACAACAAATATATATACCATTATCACACATAATTAATTGCTTTTAAGAAATAGGAAAACTGAGGAACAGAATTCTATATTAAATGTCTTAACAATTACTTGAAACTTGAATTAGGGTTTCATAGACATAAATGAGCTAGTGTCCCTACATCTGCCAATAATTTTCACAGTTTATTATAAAAGCAGTGAAGTTTTCGCTTGGACTTTGAAGAGAAAAAACCATATGACTCATGAAAAAGGCCATGGATATACCAAATTATTATGTCTAATTAATTTGAGTTTGAATAATTACCCAAAATCTGTTTCTCACATTGATAACTTATAAAACAATACTTTTATTAACCTTAGAGTTGTGTTGGCTGGGCATGGTGGCTCATGCCTGTAATCCCAGCACTTTGGGAAGCTGAGGCAGGTGGATCGTGAGGTCAAGAGATCAAGACCATTTTGGCCAACATGGTGAAACCCTGTCTCTACCAAAAATACAAAATTAGCTGTGTGTGGCAGCAGGAGCCTGTAATTCTAGCTATTCGGGAGTCTGAGGCAGGAGAATCACTTGAACCTCGGAGGTGGAGGTTGCAGTGAACCAAGATTGCGCCACTGCACTCCAACCTGGCGACAAAGCGAGACTCCATCTCAAAAAAAAAGTAGGAGGAGGAGGAAGAGAAGGAGGAGGAGGAAAAGGAGGAGGAGGAGGAGGAGGAAGGGTTGTGTTAAGTTCAAATTTGTGAACTTGATAAGATTAAGAATTTGTATATAGGCTGGGCAAGGTGGCTCACACCTGTAATCCTAGCACTTTGGGAGGACAAGGTGGGCAGATCAGGTGAGGTCAAGAGTTCAAGACCAGCCTGACCAACATGGTGAAGCTGATCTCTACTAAAAATATAAAAATTAGCCAGGCATGGTTGTGAGTGCCTGTAATCCCAGTTACTCAGGAAGCTGAGGCAGGAGAATCACTTGAACCAGGGAGGCAGAGGTTGCAGTAAGCCAAGATCATACCACTGCACTTCAGCCTAGGTGACAGGGAGATTCTGTCTCAAAAAAAATAAAAATAAAATAGAAAGAAAAAAATAATTTGTATATGAACATATAGAAAAAAGTTTTTCCTCAATATCTTTTATAAAATCAGTGTCCTTTCCCATTCATTGATAAATAAATTGAAGCAGTGGCTTTTTACACTTAAAGAAGACCAGCACCAAATTTTCTTTACCAGAGCACTTTTATCACAATTAAATTCTGTATATTGCTTTATGGATTCCATTTGCTTTTGCCAAAATACAAGAACTATGCAAAGTCTTAGTATAACAAAAAGTACTAATGTATAAAATAGAAATGCCATTATATAAAATAGGAATCAATAAGAATTCAATATGCTTAAAAGTCATTTCAGAGAGATCACCATTATGTAATAGTTTTATTACTATCCATCAAAATTATTTCCAAGGGATAAGCCACGGAACTAATTTAGATATGGAACAAACAGTTCAAAGAGACCACCACTGTAATAAACCAATCATCAAGCAGCATAATTCATTACAGCTGTCAAAACAAAATCAAACTGGCATGGTAAGAAGGCTTATTTTTTCAAGAACACCTAATTCTATTACAACCAAAAGAATTTCAGTAATAACATATACCTTTGTTATTTCTCTAACCTTTAATCTCTTTTTTCAAATGTATATAGTGGCTGGACATTTTGAAGAACTTTGTTGGTTATGTTTACAATGTTACAATTTAAAATATAGGCAAAGTTCACATACCCAAAATTCACTTTGAGGGAAAGGACAGGTAAGGGAACTTCCAAGGGCTAGACAGACATTTTCCAGAAAATTGACACTATGGTACAAGGAGAGCCTGCCGTAATTCCCAATCAAGAGAGATGTGCCACAGGTCTCAAGATACCAGCAACAAAGATAATCTACAGTCCATTCAAATCTGAGTACCATATTAATTTTACAGTTTACATTTACAGTTAGCTGCATCTCACAGGGGCAACTCTATGTGCGGTGCTGAGCCGCAGGTGTATTTATTTACTTAATGAGGTTGCAGTGAACGTAGATCTCACCATTTCACTCCAGCCTGGGCAACAAGAGCAAAACTCCGTATCAAAATAAGTAAATAAGCATATAAAATAAGAAACAGCTAAAACAACTCTGATATTTTGGGAGCATTTACTTACTATAAAGACATTTCACCTGCTTTGATATTTTCCGATATATTTTAGATTATTACATTTACCAACTTTTTTTCCAGATAAGTGAATTATTACTGTATTCTACTTCCTTTATAACATTTTTAGGTATTATTCTTTATATTTAATGAAAGGAAAGGATCTTGGTTGAGTGTTCATCTGTAGTTTCCTTTTTATATATCCTACATGTTAAAATAGGTGAGAATTAAAAAAAAACAGCAATTCATAAATGCATACTAATAATTAATTGAAAAAACAAATGGAGAAAACGGAAATACTCTTGCTTATGGTAGAGTGTTGAGAGATTTTTGAAGTTAGAAAATCATCATGTTGCAACCATTTAGGGCAAAGATTGGGTAAGCAAAAACCATCTTATATCTAAACATAGAAAGAAATGTTGATGAGGAACAAGATATTTGCATGATCTTAGAGTATTTTTCCATAGACTTCTTATCGTTGAAAGAAAAGGATAATTATACGTACACTGGATAAATTGGACAAAACCCTCACCAGGTAATCAAAATTAACATCACAAATGAGGGACAGATGGACATTATTTGCCTCCAGATGTGATTCCCTGAATACACAGTGTCTAATGAGGAAATGGGGAATCTAATGCGGAGACATCAGACAAATCCCAACTGTGGAATGTTCTGTTTTGTTTTTTAAAAGAGGTAGGGGTGCTGTATCCTTCAAAGATGTCAGTGTCATAAAAGACAAAGGCTGTGAAAATATTCCAGCTGAAGAGCCATGACAACTAAATATAATATGAGACACTAGACTGGATTCTTCCCTGGAGGAAGAAAAAATGCTATGTAGAACATTATTCAGTTAATTGGAAAACTGATGGTAGATTGATTAGATAAAAATATTTCCTCAATATTAAAGTCACTTAAATTGGTAACTGTCCTGTGGTTATGTCTCTATTCTTAGATAATATATACTAATATATACTTAGATAATATATAATATGGCTCCAAAAAAATACACATACATATATATAGTGAGAGAGAAAACAGAAATGATAAAAAGGTAAAATTTTAATAACAAGCCACTCTGAGTAAAAAGTAGATATTCTTTGCAGTCTTTCTGTAATTTTGAAATTAGTTCAAAATAGAAAGGTTTCTTTAAGGTTACAATTTTGAAGAAGCAGTTACAGCAGACGTAAGCAATCCATAGACTATAACATCATAATTATTTTAAATGGCCACCTTACTGCAAGATCTCATATGCTTTCTGAAGTTGTTGACTGCCTCCATGAAATTGTCTCATCTCTCAGGTTAAAATTAGAGAGATGAGATGTCTTATAATCAAAGAGGAATCGTATTCACCTTTTCATTTTATAAATGAGGGAACTGAGGCTCAGAGAATCAAGAGACTTGCTCAAAGTCCCTTAAACCAGTTATGACAGAGGACAATCTTGATTCTACTTCTATCTTTACAACTGCTAAGCTGCTACTGCCAGTTTCTATCACTTTCTCTCTTTTCTCCTTCCTGACTCTAGTTTCCTAACAGCTTTGTATTCTCTTCTTTCTATGATTACACAAGGAACCTATATACAGCCTTACTCTTTGAACTATCACTGCTCCACTGGTAGTTCTTAACCCAGGCTTCTGTAGCACATCTCTCATTGCCCCCATGATGTCTATATTAGGACATTTCATCATCAGTTCAACCTCTACAGGTTCAAATTGAAAGAACCATAGAAGAAAAAATTGCAACGGCAAATAAAACCTATTCATCCTTACTGCATGTCCATTGTTTGTTGTTGTTGGAGAGTTTTGTTGCTAGAAGCATGTATATCTTCTATAAACACAACAAAGGTGCTGGGCGCAGTGGCGCGTGCCTGTAGTCCCAGCTACTTGGGAGGCTGAGGTGGGAGGATCGATTGAGCCCAGGAGTTCTGGGCTGTAGTGCGCTATGCCAGTCGGGTGTTCGCACTAAGTTCGGCATAAATATGGTGAACTCCCAGGAGCAGGGTACCACCAGGTCTCCTAAGGAGGGGTGAACCGGCCCAGGTCAGAAACTGAGCAGGTCAAAACTCCGGTGTTGATCAGTAGTGGCATTGCGCCTGTGAATAGCCACTGCACTCCAGCCTGGGCAACATAGCGAGACCCGGTCTCTTAAAAAAACAAAAACAACAAAAAACAAAGGTGTTGCTTTCTTTTTAAACTGAAAACATTAAATTCCTTAATCAGCATCCCCTCCAACAATACTGTTTCCAATATTTCTTTTCTCTCTCAGGCTTTAAAATCACCTTTAACTCTTTTTCTCTCCATCATGTATCCATTTAGTCCTGATTCTTGTAAAATTTTTATTGCAATTATTAGCCCTAACCACATATGTAGAAAGGTAATTCTAACTGATCCCTTAGATTTAGCGACTCTCCACGCCTTTCTTTTCACACACCTTTTCCTCACTTCTCAATTCAAAAATCCTCAGCTGTTGCTTTTGATTTAGTAAGGTGGTATCTAGGGACTACTATAACCCGTCTACCCTACTAAATCACCTCATCACCACTCTACACACA